TAACAACTATTTACATAGCATTTACATTGCATTAGGTATTATAAGTAATCTAGAGATGGTTTCATGTATACAAGAGGATGTGCATAGGTTACATGCAGATACTATGCCAGTTAATATCAGGGATTTGAGCAACCTTGGATTTTGGTATCTGAAGGGGATCCTGGAACCAATTCCCCATGGACACCGAGGGATTGTATAATCTTTGTGTATCTTTCCCTCTCTCCCCAGTTGGAGAGGGAAAATATTAATAACACCAAGAAAAAAAAATCATCATATAATTACAATACACCAACACCTTTTGGTGTATTGGGGGTGGTTTGGTGGTTTGCAGGGCCAACCGCAGAGTCTCCGGAAGTTGCTGGTGTTCAGCGGTTGCAGGCTGTAGCTCTGGTCTTGGTGCTACATTTTGAAAACACAAGTGTCCTGTCCTGGAACTTCAGGAACTAGTGCAGATGCTCCATTGTCATTAGCATCACCCATGGTAACATAATTAGTATGTACAGTTAAAGGTGAAGGGGAATCTTTAAGAACATCAAATAATCCTTTTCACAGTTGGAGGCAAGCAGAGTAGTCTCGAAAAGACTGCTGACCACTCTGTGTGTTAACGAGGAGGTCAGGGGTCCAATGTCATTCGGGTCAGTCAGTGACACAACAGACATGATGGCAGACTGCACCCTTTCTTGCAAAGGAAATGAAGTTATAGTAAGAAATATAAATACAATGTGTTATTGTGATCACTTATGTGAAAATTTATTTTCACATAAAAACCTATACACAAATGTTTATTGCAGCTTTTATCATAAAAGGCTTTGTTTTTGTTTTGGTTTTGGATTTTGTTGGCTTAATTTTTTTAAAAAATTTTAAAACAATAAAATTCACTTTTGGGGTGCATATAGATCAGATGGTTTTGACAAATGCATAGATTCTTGGATCCATCTCCATAATCATGATACAGAACCGTCCTAACATCACCCTGCCACCCACCCTCCAAATTTCCTGGGTCACCCTCTTATATTCCACCCCCTTCTTTGCTTCCAAGACCTGGCAACTACTGATCTGTTCTCCAGATCTTTTACAGAACGCCATAGAGATGGAACTTTATAGCGTTTCAGTCCTGGTTTCTTTCACATAGCAGAATGTATTGAGAATTCAGACTTGCTGCCGCACATATTGGGAATTTGCTCCTTTTTATTGCTGAGTGGTATTCCACTGGATGTACGTGCCACATTTGGTGTGTCCATTCACTTGTTGAAGGACATTTGGTTGTTTTTGGTTTGGGACCATTATGGTAAAAGCTGTGATAAACATTTGAGAATAGTTTTTATGTGAACATAAGTTTTCATGTCTTGTAGGTAAATATCTAGGAGTGAAATTGTTGGGTCACATGGTACATGTGTTTTTAACTTTATAAGAATCTGCCA